AAACTCTTGGGCTCAAGCGATTCTCCTGCCTCAGCCTCCCGAGGAGCTGGGACCACAGGCACCCGTCACAACACCTGGCTATTTTTTTTTTTTTTTGGTTGCAGTTGTCATTGTTGTTGAGCAGGCCTGGGTTAGGCTGGAACCTGCCAGCTTTGGTGTATGTGGCCGGCGACCCACTCACTGAGCTATGGGCACAGAGCCAGAAACCCACATCTCATTTATAAATGTCATTCAAGGCCAGGCACAGTGGCTCATGCCTTTAATCCCAGCACTCTGGGAGGCTGAGGTGGGTGGATTGCTACAGTTCACAGGTTGAGACCAGCTTGAGCAAGAGCATCTCTAAAACATAGCCAAGTGTTGTGGCTGGCACCTATAGGCCCAGCCACTTGGGAGGCTGAGGCAAGAGGATTTCCTGAGCCTACATCATTGCTATGAGCTATGATGCCACAACACACTACTAGGGGCAAGAAAGTGAGACTCTGTCTCTAATTAAATAAATAAAATAAAATGGCATTCAACCTGATCCATCTTCCTTCTTTAAATTTGTCACTTCATCTTCCCCCATCCTCTGTACCCCAGATGACAAAACTGAAGAGATTATTTACAGTATAAAGTTAGACATTGCCTTTTATTTAAACATTCTGTTATACCATGGATTTATTTCTCAGCTCCTTGTAAGAGCACATGTCAATTTACCTGTACACAGGAGGTCCTTATTGTTAAATCCTAATGACTAAGCTTAAATAAAAATGTATGCTAACTAGTGGAAAGAAATTCAATAAAAACTTTGACCCACAGCAACAAAAAATAGACAAATTAGACTTCATGAAAATTAAAACTATTGTGCATCACAGGACACTGTCAACAGTGTGAAAACGTAATCTACAGAATTGGAGGAAATATTTGCAAATCACATATCTGATAAAGCATCATACAGAGAACTCCTAAGACTCAACAGCAAGAAATAAAAATAATACAACTCAAAAATGGAAAAATAGAGAAAAGGCTGGAGTAGACATTTCCCTGAAGAAGAAATACAAATGTCTGTTAATCCTTAGGGGAATGCAAATCAAAACGTCAATAAGATATCACCTCAGAGTCAATAGGATAGCTACTATTTAAAAAAAAAAAAACACATAAAAGAATAAGCCTTGGTGGGAATGTGGAGAAACTGGGGCCCCTGGGTGCTGCTGGTAGGAATGTAAAATGGTATCGTCTCAATGGAAAGCAAAATGGTAACCTAAGGAAAATAAGAAATAGAATTACCATATCAGCCTCAATCCCCACTTCTGGGCATATCCCCAAAGCAACTGAAAACAGGATCTCAAAAAGATGTCTGCACCTCTCTGCTCATAGCAGCATTGGTCACAACAGCTAAACCATGGACGCAGCCTGTGTCTATCAGCAGATGCCTGGATGAGAAAAGTGTAGCATATACATACGATGGAATGTTACTCAGCCTTAAGATGAAAGGAAATTCTGACTTATGCCACAACATGTATGAATCTTGAGAATATCATGCTAATCGAAATGAGCTGGTCACAAAAAGACAAATACTATCTGAATCTGTTTAAATGAGGTCCCTAAAGTAGTCAAAATCATAGAGGTAGAAAATATTATAAGATGGTGGTTGTTAGGGGCTGAAGAGAGGAGGAACGAGTTGTTGCTTAAGGAACAGAGTTTCAGCTTTGCAAGATGAGTCCTTGGTGGTGGTAACTGCACAGAGTGAATGTACTTAATGTCACCGAACTGTACACTTAAAATGGCTAAGATGGTCAGTTTCATATTATGTATATTTTTACCACAATAAAAAATTTAAAGAAAAACTTCATTTTGAAAATACACCTATCTTTAATTTAACAAAATTTAGACCATACAAAATGTGATCATTCTTGGAATAAACAAAGAATGAATCAGATGACGGGTTTGGGGCGGCGGGGAGAAGGAGGTTAAAGGGATTACAATTTTTTCCTCCAAAAACTATTTTGCATCTGTCTTTTACAACAAAAATCAGTTCATTTTTACAAAATTGTCTTAGAGCACCATTGATTTCCTCCAAAGGCTTCTCTTGATCCTTTGATATTTGGTTCACATGCCTTTGAGGGTTTTTGTCAGTATCCTTGCAGATGTTAATTTCTTCAGAAGTAAACTGTTCTATCTCTGCCAGATCCCAACTGGTCAAGGGTTTTGGGGAGGACTCTGGCAGTCATCCCCCATTGCTCTTAAAGACTTTTTTTTTTAAATTCAGATTAATGTGAGGGTACAATTAGGTTATAATGTTTGCATTTGTTAGAGTCCCTGGTGGTGTGCCATGTACCCTTACAATGTGCCCATTAAGTGGGAGCATACCAATTCCTCCCTTCCCCTCTCTCCACTCCCTCCTTCCCCAACTTGAATTGAATTGAGTTTTTCTCTTATGTGGGTGTGTGTTAGATAGTCTATTGGCTTCATATTACTATTGAGTACACTGGGTACAAGATTTTCCATTCTTGTGATGCTTTACTAAAGAGAATGTGCTTCAACTCCATCCAGGTTCATACAAAAGATGTAAAGTCTCCATCTTTTAATGGCTGAATAGTATTCCATGGCATACATATGCCACAGTTTGTTGATCCATTCCTGGGTTGATGGGCGTTGACGTTGTTTCCACATCTTGGCAATTGTAAATTGGCTCTTTTTATAATCACACTTCTGTGTGGGATTTGCACTTTCACCTCCGTCAGAGACTCACAGAGAGGCTGGCCCTCAAGGACGTGCTGGCAATGAGGAGAATCACACTGGCAGGAAGCAGGGACGTGCCCCTGAGCAGGGACACGCCGGTGAGCGGGGATGTGCTGCTGCATTCCCATCAGTGTGTTATTTTGTGTTTGTTGCTGTGACAGCAGACAAACAAAGATTTTGCTAATCTTCAAATACGACAAATGGTCCAGTTAAATCAAGTGGTAACATCAGTCCCTGTCGGGATTTTCAGTGCTAATTGCCTCTCATGAGTGCACTCCCCCTCCACTGACGATGCTCATTCCTCACACCTTCTCTGACCCCACCCTCACAGAGCTCGCAGAGTGGCCACTTCCCCTGACCTGAGCTGCTTCGTGCATTTCCATCACTTTGGGGAGATTGAGCAAAATCTTGACCGTCCTACAAGGTCCTGCCTAATGGTCCCCACCTCAGCCACATCAATGCATCTCACCTACTCCTGTTTCCATTCTCTCTCATCTCAGGACCCTCTCACTTGCTGCTACCTTTACTAGAATCTTCTTCCCTCACCCACCCCTCAGAACTAAAAGCCTCTTACCCTACAGGCCCCAGTGGAGCACACCCTCCCCCCAACTGCTATGCCCTCGTTGTTGATGTTATACCCCATGTTTCCCCAAAAATAAGACACTGTCTTATATTTATTTTTTCTCAAGAAAACACATTAGGGCTTATTTTCAGGGGCTGTCTTCTCTCCGAGCCGAAATGCATGGCATGGCTATGCAGTGCATCACTAGGTCTTATTATTGGGGTAGGGCTTATATTTAACAAACGCATAGAAATGCATTTGTTAGGGCTTATTTTTTGGGTAGGTCTTATTTTCAGGGAAACACGGTAGTTGGTTCTAAGGATGGCTGGTGATTAACCGTCTTGCTGTCCCACTAGGCCGTAGGGTTATGGGAACAGCTGGGTCTGGTTTACTTAGCATTCCTTGCCGTAGGCAGACCAAGGAATGTGTTGAGTAAATGAATCTGACTGCATCTCCCATACTCAGAATTCCACCAAAACTCCATTTCCCATGAAAATCAAAGGAAATAATCACAGAAAATTAAGGGCACATTTCACAGACATATCCCATGGGTGTGGCCTCATTTTCTTAGTTCCAGAAACCACGTGCAGTATTTTGCAAGACTGAAACACACATTTTCAGAAATATCTTTGTCAGTCTTCCCAAAGAAGTCCTTCAGCCTTCCGTGGCACCTGTGTCTCTGTGGGACTGTCAGTCAGCCCCACCAGAAGGTCTCTCTCACCAAGTCTCACTCTGGAGTTATGAGCTATGTTCTTAGTGGAAACAGAACTACTAGTTGCTATCTTTTGTATTTAAAACTCTTTACATTCCTAAATAGGTGTATTTACTTTTTTTTTTTAAGGGCAACACTTTTGATTCTCCTAAATTTATTTTTATACATCCTCCTTACCCTGGGTCATCCATGTGCCTTCTTAGAAAACCTTTCTTTTTTCTTTTCTTTCTTTCTTTCTTTCTTTTTTTGGAGACAGAGTCTCACTATCTTGCCCTCAGTAGAGTGCTGTAGCATCACAGCTCACAGCAACCTCAAACTCTTAGGCTTAAGCGATTCTCTTGCCTCAGCCTCCCAGGAGCTGGGACGACAGGCACTTGCCACAACACCTGGCTATTTTTTTGTTATTTTTGTCATTGTTGTTTAGCAGGCCCTGGCCAGGTTCAAATCCACCAGCCCCCGTGCATGTGGCCAGTGCTCTAACCACTGAAGTCCAGGTGCCGAGCCTAGAAAACTTTTCTATCCCTTACTAAAGACTCCAAAGCTGCACACACCACCTTGTTCTCTGAGGGGAGCAGCGACCTCTTCTGAGATTGAAGTCCTTGGCTTCACTCCGATGCTCAGATCATGCATCCTGCTACTCTGTGGTGAGCAAGATCACAAGCTCAGCCCCCAAGATAAAAGCTTCCTTCCGTTATCCTTGATCAGTGATCTCTGATGAAAACTCCCATCCTTGCTGCAGTGGTTTGACATGAGCAGTTTGGGAACCTGTCTGGAAGCCTCGCTGGGTAGGAAAACATCTTCCTTGCTCGTCCACTTCCAGCACCAGTTACCACTGGGAAGCCCGCCTGCTCTGGGCCAGGTGCTGCCCCGCAGACTTTTACATTTAATCTCACTGAGGCCTGAAAACAACCTAGCAAAACAGAGATTATTTTCTACAGTAGACAGATAAGAAATCACAGACCAAAGAGGATAACATGTCTGCTCCAGGTCATACAGCTACCAAACCACTATACGGCCAAGCTGGTATTAAACTCAGGCCCTACCACGGCGCTCCTCTGCTTCTCACAGTGCAGAGGCCTGACGCCTTCCTGCTTTCCTTCTCACTGCGTATTATACAAAGAACTTTAACAACGCATCTTAACTGTCTGTTTGGTTCATGTGCACAGGTCCTGACTAGATGAATATAATTGCTCAGAAATAAAATGCCTTAGTAATTGTGAGCTGCAGGCCACGTGCCAGGCATACAGTCAAACAAATAGTGCCTGCCTAGTAAGCAATGATTTTTCATTTTAATGAGTCCCATTCTAAACAGAAGGCATTAATATCCCACTTCTGCAGTGAACAGGGATTAGTTCCTGATCTCTCCCACTGGATCCTAAATGAGCAAAACTAAGGGAGAGAACGTTTAACATGGAAATACTTGCAGCAGAATTGAAGAGGTAAAAAAACAACAGCAGCACCAACTCACCATGGCAAGAAAAAAGCGCACAACTATGAAGCTGTAATAATCAGGTGTAAATGCCACTGCTATTCCAAACAACAATATGGAGGTGCTTGTGGACCACAGGACCACTCGTCGTCCGAGCCTGAAAAATAAGAATCACACAGTGGAAGAAGCAAGGGGCAGTTGTAACACTTTAAACATCCACTCCAATTCGTGAACGAGAAGTGTTAACCTATATGTTTAATAGCTTATATATTTGATTGTTGTTATTCATTTATTTACATTGAGTAGATCGTCGAGTTGCATGATTCACTCAAGAGACCAGCCCTTCAGTGGCAGGGCCTCCACCCAAGCTGCTAGTATACAGGAACAGTCACTCCGAGTCAGCCCCACTGGGCCCCTACCCTGGAACTGAGGAGAAGAGGAAAGGGAATTTGCCCTTTCCTTCCCAGGGCTTTGGGTCTCTATTGGATCAGACCCTGATCAGGGGACCAGGACCAGACCCTGCCAAGCTGGCTCTGTCCAGAAAGGTGGTGACAGCTCTTGGCAAGCCCCTCTAAAAACCAAGCTCTTGCCATCTTCTGCTCCTGGAATAAGGTGCTTATCTACCCTACATTTTCATAACTGAGGGAGGCGTTTCTTTGTCTACAAAGCAAATAATATTTCTGACATGCTTTTAAAATTGCGGCTTAATTCAAATGCCATCGTATTCAACCTTTTAAGGTCTATGTTTTTAGTATATTCACAAGTTTGTGCAACCATCACGCTCTAATTCCAGGATGAATCTATTGATCGCCCTGGAAATAAACTGTGTTTGGAGCCATCACTCCCCATTCCCTGCTCCCCCAGCCCCCAGCTGCCACTAATCTACCTTCCGTCTCTACGGATTTGCCTGTTCTGGGACATTTTACACAAGTAGAATCAAACACTATGTGGCCTTTCGCCTTAGCATTATGGTTTCAAGGTCCATCCGTGTTGTAACCTGAGCTTGTACTTCATTCCGTTTTAGGTCTGGGTAGCGTGTATTATACAGACGTACCACATTTTGTTTATTTGCCCATCAGTTCACAGACATCTGGGTTATTTCTGCTGTTTGGCTATCATGAATAACGCTGCTCCAAACACTCGTGAACAAGATTTGTATGAACTTACGTTTTCAATTCTCTTGGATGGACACCTAGTAGTGGAATTCCCAGGTCACATCTTTTTGAAGAACTGCCAAACCCCATTTTTACATTCCCACCAGTAAGGTACGAGGGTTCCAGTTTCACCCCCTTCCCGTCCACACTTGTCACGGTCTGCCTTTCTGATTGTTGCCATCCTAGTGGGTGTCAAGTAGGATCTCACAGTGGTTTTGATTTACATTTCCCTAGTTTATTAACGACATTGAGCATCTACTCCAGGGCTTATTGGCCACTTGCATATATTCTTTAGAGAAATATCTATCCAAATCCTTTGCCCATTTTTGAATTAGTCGATTTGATTTTTTTAACGTTGAGTTGTAAGAGTTCTTTATATGTTCCGGATACTAACCCTCATCAGGTATATGATTTGCAAATATTTTCTCCCTGTGGTTTGTCTCTGACAAGTAGTTTTAAAGCAAAAGAATGCTATATAGAAATTCCAACCAGCAGGCTTGCTTGGTACAGCAGAGAATCAGCAAACAAATAAGAAACCATGGTCTTCTTCACAACCTCTGCCTCCTCTACTCCTACACACAGCGGTAGGGATTGCTGGGCCTCTGCAAGGATGTTCTCCAATCCCAACCTTCTCCCAGATGCCACCTAACACTATTTTTACCTTTCACTGTTTGACCCTCTCTCCCACCCCCAATGTCCTCACTGTGGCAGATGCCTGGCCATCTTCTGCAGAGATGCAGGGACCATCAAAGAGGAAGCCCCATGCCTTCCTGCTCTGCCCACTAACGCACACAACCTGCATCTGCACTCAGCCTTCTCTTCTCACACTTGTCTGGAGACACAAACTCCTTTCTCTCCAAATACCACGGTGCAGTCTCGGTTTGGATCACACTCTTCCTCCCTCCTCTGAAACTGTACCCATCACCGCTCTTTCCTCTCTCTCTCTCTCTCCTTCTCCTCTGACTTCTTTCTTTCAGTTTATTACTCCTCCAGCCAAAGACAAGAACCTTCTCTGGACCCCAGTGCTCCTTTAGCCACCCTGCGTGTCCTCCCCTGGCACACGCATAGGAAGGGACATCCACTTCCTCAACTCCTTCACCTTTCCTTGGCCAGCGATCACTAGGGGGAGCCAACTTTTCTGAGGTCACGTTGCAGTCACCCGGAACCTGCAAATTGCCTTTTCTGCCTGTCCTCTCTCATGCCACTGACCACTCCTACTCGTCAGGACCCTGCTGTCCCCTGGCCTACAGAACATCACTCTCTTCCGGTTCTGCTTATACCTCCCTGCTGGCCCACCCGCCTCACTGCTGGCATTTCTTAAATGCTGCATACCCTGCCCTGGGGACTACATCTCCTCCTCTGGCTGACTCCTAAGGAAGTCCTCACTCCTCTCTCACCTTCTGGCCCCAGTTGCTTTTCCCACCAATGTCCTTCAGAGCTGCCCTGTTTTATTGCCCGTGTAATGGGTATTAATTTTGAATACATTTCCCCCTCTTCCCTCCTTAATCCAGGGATAGTACAAGCTCGCTAGAAATATCCAAACGTGTTTCCCTCTCTTCTGAAGCTGCCCTCTCCCTAGTGTTTCCTGACCAGTTAGCAACATCACGGGAACCTCAGTGTTCCTCCCTGGCCCCCTCCCTCTGGCATACTGGTCACCAAATCATGTCAGTTTAGAAATGCTTTCCCACTCTGCCTTCAGCGCTTCCTTCCTGCTTTCATTCAAGCCTTCGCTGTTTCTTACACCATTCATCCCAACAGCCTCCCACTGGGCGTCTAACCTCACACCTCCCACTTCCTAGAAATAAAACAGTCCCAATGGTAGCTTTTTGCCTTTTGTCTGTTTCCTTTATCTATCCTGCACACCTGCCACGCTGACCTTCCCCCACGGTCCTGACAGTGCAGGGCGCTCTCATGACCCAAAGCTATTCCTTCCCCTTGGAAATCGCTCTCCAAGTGGCAACTTCGTTAAGGTCTTCAAATCCTGTCCAGTGTGAAGTCTTTTCTGATCATCCCCTGGGTGTCATGGCAGAAATTAAGAGACAATATAACGTAGCAATCAGCCACACTGGCCTGGGCTCAAAGCCCAGTTCCTCTCCTCACTTTCCCAGTGAACTTACCAGGCTTCCTTTTCCTCCCTGGTTAAAAAAAAAAAAAAAAATGATGGGGAGGGAGGAAGCCAGTAGTGCCCACCTCACAAACATCCTTAAATAATTAAATGAGATAATACACACGAGACATTTAGAATAAATGTAAGTTATTATTTTAAAGGTATTTATCATTTTTTGAGACAAAGTCTCTTTCTGTGCCAGGCTGAAGAGCAGTGGAACAGGATCACAGTTTACTGTAACCTTGACCTCCTGTGCATAAGGAATCCTCCCACCTCCACCCTCTGAGGAGCTAGTACTACAGCTGTGTGCTATCTTGCCTAATTTTTTTTATTTTTTGTAAAAGTGAGGTCCAGCTGTATTCCCAGGCTGGTTTTGAACTCTTGGCCTCAAGTGATCATCCCATCTTGGCCTCCCAAAGAACTGGGATTATGGGTGTAAGCCACTGCGCCTGCCTTGTTGAAGTTGGAGTCTATCTTCTCCATTGTTGGCTTATTAAGGATAGGCTCAGATCTGATTTATTTTTTTAAAAAAATAATAATAGGAGGTATATCCGAAAGTATCCAGCCATGTAATGTGAAAAATAGTATTAACAATGGCTAGATACTTTCCAGACAGCCCTTGTCTATCACATATACGTAAGAATGCATAAACTATATCTAGCTTGTACAATAATAAAGAATTAAACACATAGAAATCAGCACCCTTGGTTGGGTGCAGTAGCTCACGCCTGTAAATCCTAGCACTCTGAGAGACTGAGCAGAGGGATTTCTTGAGGATTCAAGACCAGCCTGAGAAAGAGTGAGACCCCCTTCGCTACCAAAAATAGAAAAATTAGCTGGGCACGGTGGCAGGTGCCTGTAGACCCAGCTACTCAGGAGGTAGAGGCAGGAGGAATCCAGGAGTTTGAGGTTGCTGTGAGCGAGACTGACACCACTGCACTCCAGCCTAGACAACTCAGTCCAAAAAAGGTGGGAAAGAAAGAAGGCAGGCAGGGAGGGAGGGAGGGAAGAAAACACAACCCAAAGCAAGAAAGAGATTTCCAGCCTCCCAACACCTTCCTATGCCTCCTTCTAGGAAGAACCGTTATCCTAACTTGGGTGATAACCAAACCGCTTTTTCTTCCTTTTTACCTTGTTCCTGCCCTTGCTTTCTGTTCCATTTTACCGTTTGTATAAGGAATCCTAAACGATATAGGTTATTGCTTACAAACAGTATAGGCTAGTTTTTCTATCACTGAATAATATCGTGTACTATTTTATGACTTATTACTTTCACCCAACAGTATGTTTAGAAGATTCAACTCTGTTGTTTCATGTAGCTGTGGTTCATTCATTTTCATGGCCACATACCCTACTGCAAGAATATCCTGCAATACACGTGCCCTCAACTCGTTAAGGAACACTGAGGTTATTCACAGTGCTGGGAGGACTATAGGCCCCATGCAGTAGGAACATTTTCATGCATGTACCCACGTGGACCAACGTGAGCGCATGTCCGGGGTATGTACCCTACAGCACGTGGGCTGTGCATATCTCCAGCTTCTCTATATAATACCAAATTGCTCTTCACTGTCTTCCCAATTCGCATTCTCAATTTGCATTGGCACCAGCAGGATGACAGATCCTTATCCTTACCAATGCTTAGTTTATGAGACCTTTTACTTTTGGCAACTGGGCAAAAATAAATAATGTGATTATATATCATTGACATTCTGCATTATCCATTTGTATTTTCTCTTCTGTGAAGTGACTTCAAGTCTTTTTTCCTCTTTTTTCTAATGGCTTGTCTTTTTCCTACTGATAAAAGAATACTTTGACTATTTTGGACACTAATCCTTTAATTATACTTGTCACAAATATTCTCTCTCTCTCTCACCTTTCCTCTTTTAATGGCACCTTTTGATGGAAATAAAACTAATGAATTTAACTAAATTTATCCATTTTTTCCTTCGTGGTTAGTGCTTTTGTGTTTTTTAGGAAATGTCTTCCTGGCCAGGCACAGTGGCTCATGCCTGTAATCCCAGCACTCTGGGAGGCCAAAGTGGGTAGATCACCTGAGCTCACGAGTTCAAGACCAGCCTGAGCTAAAGCAAAACCCCGCCTCTAAAAATAGCCAGGCATTGTGGTTGGCACCTGTAATCCCAGCTACTCAGAAGGTTGAGGCAAGAGAACTGTTTGAGCCCAGGAGTCTGAGGTTGCTGTGAGCTGTGATGCCACAGCACTCTACCCGGGACAACAAGGAGAGACTCTGTCTCAAAAAAAAAAAAAAAAAAGAGAAAGAAAGAAAGAAATGTCTTCCCTTCCCTTACATTAAATTCTGAAAATACTCTCCTATATTGTCTTCCTAAAGTTGTATAGTTTTGCCTTTCACACAAATAACTTTAGTTTTTGCACTCTAAGTGTGAGGAAGGGAATCCAGTTGTATTTTCTTCTAGATGGCTAGACATCTGTCCCAATACCATGTATTGATCCTCTTTCCCACTAATGTACAATGCCTTATTTGTTCCATACTTATGTTTTTGTTGTTGTTGTTGTTTGTCTGCTTTTTTGCAGTTTTTGACCAGGGCCAGGTTTGAACCCGCCACCTCCAGTATATGGGGCTGGTGCCCTACTCCTTGAGCCACAGGTGCTGCCCTGTTCCATACTTATGTTTATAAATGCACAAGACTAATTCTGGATCCTCTAAGGAATCAGAGTTCCAAATGCCAATCTATTTGTCTAATAATATATCCATTTGCCTTAACAATGTGACTTGTAG